AAATAATATAGGCCAAAGCATCGTTAATATCTTGAACTGTTCCCGCCACTTTCAGGTCTATTTAAAGCTAGAAAAAGAAAGTCATGCCAACTTGCTCATCGAGTATACCGCATTCAAAGCTTTGAAAAAGCTATAAGAAAATGTTTTAGGACAAAGTTGAGCTAAGCATTGGATAGAGCTGGAAAAGCTCTTCAAAATGATATCAACATCAATTGCAGCTTTCCTAGATTTCAAGGGAAATAAAGCATCCAAAAGTGGAGTGTCAGAAAACGACAGAACTTTCTGAAACACCTAATACTTTCCTTACTTTTGAATTGTCACAGTTTTGTCTATTCTGGTTTACAATTCTGTAAATGATTGAATATGGTGAAAACATATTGTATATTGTGAAAACTTTCGAGCGCAGTACTTCATTATATTATATTTTTCATTTTAGGAGATTATCGATTGCAACGGAAAGTTCCATTTTAGGAGATTATCGATTGCAACGGAAAGGGTAACTGCCAGGGTGGTGAGGTTGGTAATGTATTGGAATATGCGAAGACTCATGGGCTCGTCGAAGAAGGTTGCAACGTCTACCGAGCTACAAATGGACGTAAGTTACCTCTTGGTCTCAGCTGTAAAGCGAACGGGTCCGAAAACCAAATAAAAAGAAGAATTCGAAATATTCTGACTATAATGATAGCCCTGCTCGAATGCCAGTTTTGCGGCTCATTGACAAAACAAGGGATTTTTTACATCGTTCCGAAAACCACGCCCATTTAAAGAAGCCACACCCACTCCTGTAGAGCACAACTCAGTAAGGGGATTTGATTCGATTCAGACTTGCCATTGTATAGTGCGGCAACAGTAAATTCATCTATGAAAGTAGTTGGATGAAACAGCTATGCAGCAGAAGCTGATTAAATTATTAGTAAACAAGAAACCCTGTAAATTTCGCCATAGCCGAAGTGTGAAACGGGTCTTTCTATCATTTCATATTTGAACCCGTTTTTCAAACTAAGGGTGACTTGAAATGTAGAATTGGAAAAAACCTCATATGATCCAATTTCAGATTGCGATCCATTCCACAGATGCGGTACTTGTTGGCCAGACAGCTGTACGGCTGTTAAGAACTACACTAGATATTACATAACAGAATACGGACAGGTAATCACAACCTTGAACAACTCACATTCAAGATATCTTTCAAACAATTCCCTTCTCCAAAACCGACTAATAGGACACTTCATCTTCTAACGACAAACTGCCTTTCAAAGGAGTTACTGCTCATCGATCTTTGCAGTGCTTACCATTACCAACTATTGTGACTTTATCCCCTAGTTCGTGAACAAATAAAATTGACTTAAAGGTGTCCGGTCGTGAAAATATGATGATTGAAATCAAGAGAGGTGGACCGATTGCTTGTTCGATCTCCTGTACTCCAGAGTTTGACTTCAACTATACCGGAGGCATCTATTCACAGAAGAGTGGAAAGGAAGCTGAGGTAGGAAGCTTTCTTTATCTACAGTGGTAGCATAACTTACAACTTGTAAGCCTTTTGCTCATCGCTGCTGCCTACGTAGCGAAGTGTCTGCGTATCGATTGGCCCTGTGCCCTCTCGGCTGTCCCCTCTTCTCGCTGTTGAGCGTTTCTCCAACCTCGTAGCACTCTGCCTCACGGAAAATTAGGCGGATTTATTCGCTGTTGGCGATCGTTTCCTCTGCTTTTTCTTCATGTGTGGTCCGGTCACCGCTAACGTTCACTTTCAAGCAGAATATCTGCATCGCATAACCGTGGAATTAGGCACTAATTGTGTGTCTGATATATTGTAGCCCGTATTATAACATTTTTATAATACTGCCATTCAGCCAAACCATATCGTCTCGGTTACTGGATGGGGTGTGGACGAGAACGGAGTTGAACATTGGATCGTACGCAACAGTTGGGGCGAGGAATGGGTTAGTCTACTTTAATCCATTTTTTCACTTTGTTTTGGGTCAGTGATGCTTCCTTAAATTCGTGATCAGTTTGTAATTGACTACTTTTGAACGATCTTACTGAAAGCTAATTTGGAGGTTCATTTAGGGTGAGAAGGGATGGTACCGTGTTGTGACATCCACGTATAAGAACGGTACTGGTAACGAGTACAACATGGGCATCGAGAAGGACTGCTATTACGCCGACGTCGACGTCAGTAATCTTGATTAGGAGATTTTTCGTTGACCTTGGGTATACTGCTAGGGATTCCTTCAGTAAGAAATCTGTTCAAGAGTTCATGGTGCATGTGCAATCTGTTGAATTATTGATCTTTCTGCTTAGAGAATAAAGTTGTTGATGTAAAACTAATATGAAATTAAATACTTCAATTCCGGTAGATAAGCTCTAGCTGGTGTCACGTAAAAACATTTCCGCCTATGTAGTGTACTTCCTACAGAATACTGTAACTTTGGCCATAGGTAACTCGACACCAGTGGGCAACGTGTAGTTTTTCCAGCGTTTAAGGGCAATGGTCAACCGGAAGGCTTGGTGATTCAGTGTTTTGTAGTGTTCTCTGGGACTCTCGCACATACACACTATTACAGCATCTCTGCTTTCTTTCCCTCCTTCGAAAGGCTTAGTCCCAGCAATGCGCTTTTCTGTCTGGACTCGCACACGTTGGTTGACCGCTGCCCCGTAACCTTTTTCCAGTGGGAGAACGCAGCGAGCAGAAAATAGGGAACAGACTCTGCCGCCGAGAATATCACATTTGTAATCAGGACACCAAATAACCCATATACGGTAGCCTACACCGAATCAGGTGAAACCCGGTCGACGGACTACTTGAACTCAGCCCTTCAAACCGCTCTGCGCTCTCTCGCGCGTCCCTCTCCTCTCCAAGGCTGGGCCTTTAATCACTAGAGCAGAGATCATCGCCTATTATGAACCAAAATCTTGCAGAACCTGCATGGAAGTTTAACCCTTTGACGACCGCCGTTATGCAATGCGTCACTTCACTTCTTTTCAAATTTTTTCATCAGTAATTATTAACTCTACAAAAATTCTATTTGTAGTAATTAGCGCATTATTTCGCGAATTCGATAATGTATTTGTGTAGTTTTGAAACATGAAAAATGCCAAAATAAACCACGAAAAACGAGCCGCCACCGAGCGAAAGTGTGGCCCACCGGCGGGCCACACGGTCGTCAAAGGGTTAATACAGAAAATTCTGCACTTGTGCATACTAAAAATGAAATACTGAAAATCAGCTCGATTTTTCAATTATGAGAACGACTCTCGCTCACAAGATGAAAAACATGTCATGTACTTTATTCACAGCATGGTTTCACCACTATAAGGGGAAGAATACGAGTATGATTTGAGCAAGAGACTACAACAGGATTTTACGATTCAGAAGTCTTGTGCCCCCGAAAACATGAAAATATTCATTGATTCCCGTAAACGCAATAAAATACACCGAATCAGAATGTCATTCGAACATGAGCCAAATCACCATAGAAAACAGAAAAACGATAAAATTAAGGCCATAGGTGCCAACATGTTGAGGACAGATGCCGATTTGCCATGGTGTGCCATACAAGCATAATAACGAGGATAGTCGGCGAATTCGATAGAGCACAACTGAGCATCCCTAAAAAGCAGAGGATCATCATCAAATATCAACCGTATTATCTGACTTTGACATCCCACAATCCCTTATTATAATTAAAGCTCCAATGTTCGTAAAGCTATAGAAAAGAATTGAGAAGCGAGGACTAGGACCAGCCCCTCTGATGGGCCACGCACTCGACACCGTACTATAGAGGCATTAAGCTTCCCATGGAACTTTGAATAAAGACGACACATAGGTAGAGCTTCGAACGCTGATTACAAATGAGGAAACTAAAACTGCAAAATGAACCTTCCAAGGAAGTTGTGAGCAGTCAAAGGTTGGTTAGAAGTAAAGGTCACATAAAATTGTGGCGAGCGTTGCGAGCAGTCAGAGTCTCCGTGTAGTGCTCTCGCTCTCCAACAAGTACGTCAAGTTTTCTCCCCGATGCACTCTGCAAATTTTGAGAGCACCATCGCTAGTTCAAGGCGACTCTGAATGCGCCGGACGCTAGCACGGTCCATATGTAACGCTTTACTTCCAGCCAACTTTGACTGCTCACAACTTCCTTGGCAGGTTCATTTTGCAGTTTTAGTTTCCATATTTGTAATCAGCGTTTGAAGCTCTATCGATATATCTGGGTCTCATTCAAAGTTCCATGGGAAATTGAATGCCTTCCGGGTAGTCATTTGGTCAGTTTAGTATCGGCATTCATGGTTTTTTTTCTACTCACGCAACCACCGCACAGTACAACCCACCGGGTAGGGTAGGAGAACTCACATGCCTCGCTAGGTTTCACAGACCAGGCATGTATGATGAATAGTTGCCATGAAATAGGTTCTCGAATTGCCAAGGAGATGGCGCAAGGTAGTCGTCCATTCGCACTATTCGAACGAGAGTATCGCATTTTGGGCTTGAGCAAGGTTACATAAGGGAAACGGAGGTAATTAAAGAGGGTTGCGTTTGGACAGGGTTTTTCGACGAATTGTGAAAGTTTCACGATGGTAGTGAGGAATTGGCGAAATTGGAGGAGTTGCCGCTTCATAATACCAATTTATCCCCCTCCCCCTCCTCGCTGAATTAGAGGAAAAAGTGGGCGGAGTTGGGCTGTGTCGTCTGGTCTCAAATAGATAATAAATAAAATCTAATCAAATGCTATAGAACAGCCATGATAGGTAAGGGTGGTCGTCCGAGAAGGCGAGAAGGGGGAAGTGGGATCGCATTGGGAGATCCTTCTAAAACTGATGGTGCTGGGGGGGCATCGAGACCCTCCTGAGGGAAGGGGTTCGCAAAATTTTTGAAAATGAGCGAACGTCACAGTTAGTCCTGAGACGGCGTCAGCAACGAATGAGGGTCAGGAGATCCAAATTGCCGCGGCGCTCAAATTTCCTAGCTAGTTCCTCAGCCTACCGCAGCCCATCCGCGTCAGACAAATTCAGAACTGGTTGCGCACGGTAAACACTGTTTATTTTATAGGCGTTAGATTTTTGAAATTTTTTCAGTTCAGTTGGGATTCACCGGGGCACTACGGTGCCTTCCTTCTTTCAAACGGGTCCAGCACCGATTATCCCACTCTAAGGGAAGGTTTTCGCTTTCGAGCGATTCTCAACCTGGAGGATTTGACACTCGAACCAATGAAAAATGAGATCGTGCTAGCTCTCACCTGAATCGGCCTTCAGGCATTTTTGGATCCCATAACACGGAGTTGTAATCTATGTACTTCTGAAAAAGTTCGGTGTCGTTCTTCAGCCTCTCAACTATGCTATCCATCGTCTTCACGTCGATTGGTCCTTTTACATTGTAGATATCTTTGAAGGAATATTCTTTGACAAATTTAGTTTTACTTCCGTCATTGTTCAGAGTGGTCAGATTTATATAGTAAGTTCTGAAACGTATCAATTAGCGAGAATGGCTATGAAGAAATCACTAAAACGAACTCGAAATCGTTGATTACTCCATTGTCATCGGTGAAATACAATCTGAACGCCGGATTATTCGCTCCTGCACCATCCAAACTGGAAAACCACGGAGTCACTGCTGGTGTCATGAGCGCGAACTGTACACTGGCTCCGGATGAATCCTTAAAGACGACAGTTACTGGGTTGTCCAG